GTCTATCGAGAGCACTGTGTCCTTTTTGCAGTCCTTCCTCTCGAAAAGCGGCTGCTTGGCCCAGACGCCCATGATCTTGCGTATCTGGCGAAGATTCCCCTGCGTGTGGTCCATGCGATTCTGGAGGGCAGCCACAGGCTTGCGAAGTTTATCCAGGTAGCTCAGAATATCTGAAAAAGAATAACAAATAAATTTAAAGATGTTTTAAGCAGATACCGCAGTTGTATAATTTTTATCATACACATTAAAAAATCATAATTGTTCGCAATTCCCAAATATGAAAAATAATAATAATCAATCTTCGCAAAAAGGAATAAATAAACAAAAAGCATGGTACGTCCTATTCCATTCCGCTAATTTTTGGCCAACCTGATTTAATGCGTTTCGACTTGTTGATTTGATATAAACCAAAAATAGGTTTTTATTATCCGGTTGACTGAGCAGACATACCTGACGAATTCCAAACGAGCTGATTCACGCCGATCTCCACCAGATCATCAATCATTTTTATCTCGGGTTCGATCAGTCTGAGTTCCACAGGAGAGCTGCCTTCTTGAATGCTATTATACCAATCGATGGTCTTCTCCAGGTTCAGTGTATAGGAACGAAAGACATCGCTCTTTTCGGCAAAATCAATGGCTATTTGGGGAATGCCGTCGATCTTCATCTGCTGCATGTAGTGCACCTCCCTCAGAATGGAGAACAAAGCGGCACTGAAGTTCAGGATCAGCGAATTGTGGCGACGATCGCGGGCTATCAGGGATTTCTTTAGGTTCTCTTCGATTTGTCCATCCAACTGCGCAGCCCAGTCGTCAAAGAACTGAGTCTTACAGGACCCCAGTTTGACCATGAGGACCTCGTAGCGCTCTACGATTTCCAGTGATTTCTCCGTTTTGGTGATCCTTTACACAAGTAAGGTTTCAATTAGTTGGAATTAAAAACAGGTATTTAAAACTTACTCATGCTGCAATGCCTTGAAGTGCTTGACTGGAGCTGTGATGCGCGTCTCCAGCTGATAGCACCAGCGAATAAAGGCGGCCACAGGTGGGCAGTTGTAGTTGGGATACAGATTGTCCCCCACCTTTTTCAGTTCCGTTTGCCTATCGTATATGGACTCGCAGATGGTCATTTCATCATCCAGCATGCGTACGATTTCGGCATAACGCTGGGTAAACTCCTCCTTGATCTTGGGACGGTCGAGTACGCTGCCCACAATACTAATGAGCTGCAAGATTAATATTTAATCACGATAATATAAATACTTTTAGAGTACCCCAATTTGTACCTTGAAAATACTCTCCAAATTATGGCAATCGTCAAAAGCCTGGCACAAAATAGCCGCCAGTTTCATGTCCAGTTCAAGAATGCGGGTCTGGAAACCCTTGAAATCTTCATCAAACTCATGGTCATCTGGATCGAGGACATCGTAGCTCTTCGAGGCAAAGGCGGTGAAGTACTGGTTAAACTCCACGTAGACATCTGTGATGCGAGTGCTGAGCTGACGACCCCGCAGCCCACCGATTTCGACTTTCTCTAATTTCAGGAATTCAATCACAGTAAAGAAGAACCTTGATGGAGCCAAAAATTAGTAGCAGCTATCTTAAAACTTATTAAATCCAATATACTTACCATTGGATGGTGGTTAGACGCTCGAGGAAGGCATTAAAGCGCTTGAAAACTGAATTTGGATGAAAAGTCCATAAAATCGGCGGCCGCTCCTCGGGTTCCGTAAAGAACGTGGCCAGTCGTTCCTTGTAGTAGTCAAATAGCTCCCGAAAGAACTTCAGGATCTGAATGGACAGAGTGAGCCGCTGCATGGCCTCGTCTATATCGCTGTGGAATATGGAAGAGGGATCCAAATATCGCTTGGCCTGAAATCGATGAAATGTATCAGTGGTGTGCCCACCAAATTCCCACCCATTTCCTCTAACCTGATGTACAATCAAGTTGCATATTTCCTGCAGCAGCACTGTTATTTTCGCCGACTGGCAATAGTAACGCGAATTGCCCCACAGAATGCCCACAGTATTCATGAACGGAATGAGCAGCGGCTTGCATTCGGCGAAATCAATCTCCTCCAGGTGCTGGAGTGGGCGCTTCAGAGGGTTCAAATAGAGTGTTATGTCCTTTGCCTCCGCCAGAGCTGCGGAAATCACCGATTGGCATGCTAGACTCACGTTTCGCGGCACGGCACTACTCACCCGTAACGACGTTCTTGAAGAGGGTCTGGAAGCACGGATGGTAGGCACTCATCGAGTACTCCAGTATCAGAGCCATGGCACGAATGCGCTCGTTGCGCAATTGGTCGTAAATGAATGACAGATTCTTGAGGCGATTGTTCCAAAATGTGAACTCTAGTGAGAGAGGTAAGATAAAACATTGCGGATTGCCTTTACTTAAAAGTAATTAAATGAATTAAGGGAATTAGCAGATATGGGTCACAGTTTCTTTCGAATAAAATTAATTTAGATTTTTGTGTTGGAGCTGACTATACAAAAATAGTAAATAAATTCATAAGTACTGGATCTACAATTGTAGGTCAAGTATAGGGGCATAACCTATTTTCTGCGATACAAAATAAAAGCCATCCTTTAAGAAAACATATGCTATATAGTTCCCTATTTATTGTATCAATATCTACTTTATTCCAGATTGCATAACTAATTTCAGGACTATGTTAAATTGTCTATCAAGTTGGTCTCTACTATTAAATAAGGTTTCATTACGCTTTCAGTTAAGGGTAAAATCGTGAAATTCGCAGATTATTTAGGCAAATCAGAACCTTAGCTTTCGCCATTCTATCAACCAACCCGTAAACTCAATCGTCAATGTCAAATGTGAACGCGTAACACAAGGCAAGAAAACCCTTTGGTCCTATGGTAATAGCATTATAAATATTGCATGCACGCGGAAAGTCATTCGTGAACAGATAATAATGGAAGACAAAACTTTTGGATGAGTATGAACATGCAAATTTCGGGGTTGCTAGGATATGGGGAGACTTGAATTTTATCAATAAATAATAAATGGAGTGGAGCCAAAAATAAACCGGCACACATGGCACCGCCGACTCACCCGTGTGCGGAGTGGGATTCTGGCCATTGGCGAAGGCGTTCGAGGGACTCTCCTTGATGACCTCGTGGATCTGGGTGGCCCACTTGATGACGACGCCCTCGATGGCGCTCTTCAGATACAGATCGAACTGGCACTGCTCCGTTTCGACCAGCTCCTTGGCCGCCTTCACGATCTTCTCGACGCCGACGGGCATGGCCAGGATGGTCTCTCCGCTGACCTGACCCTTCACCTGGTGCACGGTGCTCTTGAGGCTGTGCACGTGCTTCTGCACATCCTGGGCCACCATGATGGGCCAGCTGCGATAGTTATCCTCGTTGGACAGGAGCGGCACGAGCACCTCCTCGACCAGTGCGGACAGTTGGTCAATAGTACGCGTGGCCAGGTCCCCGTAGATGATGAAGTTGCCGCAATCCTCTCGAGGAATGGGCGAGGCATAGCGCTTGATGAAGTACACGCCCTTGCTCTTCAGCTGCGACAGCGGGAAGGTGGTCGAGGGAACCAGCTGGGCGGCCGGGGTGAGGATGATAATCAGGACAACCGGTGTATTCCTGTCCAGGAACTCCTTGATAATGCCCTTATGCTCCTCCACCGTGATGACGCGCGTCCACTTCTCCGGCTTCAGTTTCAGCGACTTGATGACGAAGGAGCCCATCAGCTCCAGTCGCGGATCCGGACCACCAGCCGCCGCTGCAGCAGCGGCCTCGGCGCTGGTGGATGGCTCCATCGCGACCCACTCGCTGGTGGGTGGTGGTGGTGGTGGTGTTGTTGTTCGGTGAGGTGGTTGCTTGGGTGTTGCTGCTCCTGCAGTGGTTGTCTGGTTGTTGCTGCTGTCTGTTGTTTGCTGTGGGGATGAGGTGCACATGCATATCTGAGTGTTTGGTTGACCTTGTTACCACTAACAACTAAATATATAAAATCGATAATAAAAATTGCAAATCAATAAGATTAAAAATTATTAAATCTTTTTTCCTTGATTTGCTTATTAAACGTTTTTTTTTAATTTAACACTTTGAATTTTAACTACTTCTAGTGTTACGTAACATTTTTCACAATTTTCACTAGTTACATAACACACAAAAAGTTACAACTTCCAATATTTTAAGATAAACCCAACACAGATATAAAGATTCCAGTTGAATTTACTAAGCACATCTTCATTATCGATGCTTTTAATCATTTTTAATGGCTTTGAAATGTTTTCCTTAGAGTATATATTTTATTTTAATTTTTCCTTGAGGGTTTTCCGCTGGTTTTCCTTTTTCCAATTGGGACTGCTTACCTCGGCTGCTGTTAAGCGACTAAATTGGTTGTTATTTCCACAGGCGACAGCAGGCCCACCTGACACGCACATTCAGGTGGCAAAGTGATCGTGGCAGGACCCGTTGCTAAGGAGTTGTTGATTTTGTCCACCGAATCCTTTTGTGGCCAATTACTACTGTTTGTTATTTCCCCTGTGCCATAAAGGCCGTTGCTAAGTTGGTTGCCAAGTCGGTGGCTATTTGTTGCGCATATCTTTCATTGAAATGTCAAATAGCACGCCATTTGCAAATTAAGTTCCTTCGATTTGCACACTTACCATTAATTGATTGTGTTCTAATTGATGAGCATGTAAAGATAGTCATAATTCAATTAAGATTAAGGGTGTTAATTGACTATGGTTTTGTGATATGCTAAATAATATTGCATTGCAGTTTGCCCTTCTCTTTTGCACATATAGGAATGCATTCGCATTTTTTGTTTTTCTTCCTTGGTTCAACGTGTAAATGCATTTGTAAGCAAACCACTTTTATTCATGGATATGAGTACAACCTTTAAAGACCTACAAATAGATAAGGATGGCCGATTTACATTTACCATTTATCTTTCAGGCATTTTAGCACCAATAAATGAAAAATTAGATGTGAGATGGATAGGCAAACTGTTTGAATATGCAACATGCAACACACCGAACACGCGAAAAACCTAAAAAGTCTGTTAAACACCTGTCCGCAATTGATTTAGATTTATGAAGCTAAATGATATCCAGGCACGCCAAGAACTGTTGCATTCGTCATGCAACAGTTGGTCTGGGGAAATTCCTCAGGTAACAAAATTTACATTTATCATTTGCACTTGCTATAATTTCTCACCCCTGATTATGGAATCTTCAAGCGCAGGCGCAATCAACACGTGGTTGTTAAAAATAGAGGCACTTGTTGCTACGCCAGCAACACGGTGCATAACCGAGGCCAAAAAGCAACAGATAATTGCATGACTTCCGGTAGTAAAAGTTTTTCTATTTCCAGCAGAGATTGGACAAGGCCTAGGTCGCGGAATGTGTCTCGTGCTTTGGGTGTTGGTTCACTGAACTTGAGGCCCGAAACCAAAACCGCACCACATTTATGCAAGCAGTCAGCCAAGCCTGAAAATCAATAAGCTTATAAACTGAATCCAGAGTCGGTTGCCACAACCAGTTGATTGGCAACCATGTGGCAGTTGGCATTGGGACTGGGTCTAATCCAGCAGCTGAGCCTTGCCATCGTGGTGGAGCGCAATATGTTTGCCTACTACAAGGTGCCGGCAGCCCAGCTACTTTACTCCCAAGACTTGGATACGGATTTTGACTCACCATCCCAGGAGATCAGCAATCTTGATGGTGGTCAGGTCAGCGATCTCTACTATGTGCTACAGTGTCCACCAAAGCTGGACGACGGGATACCCAAGCCGCAGGACATGCAAACCTGCAGTGTGGTGGACCAGTACCGGGGTATGTCGGAAAAGAAGAAACCGAAGCCCAAGAAGCGCTACCACATGGTTCCCTTCCGGATAGTGCTGCGTCCATTGGGGCCACCAGCCATGAGACGTAGTCATAAGCGTCTTAAACGCCAGCACAGGGATCACAAGAATCCAGATCAGGATGTCCCCAAAGTGGAGAAGAAAGAGGTGACCAGTCCGCTGCAGTACCTGGGACGCCCTCACAAACGCCAGAAGCTCCTCAAACTAGCCGCCGATCATCGCAAGTTCAAGCGAGGCAGCAGTTCCAAGGGTCACCATCACATGTACCACCGCGATGAGACCTACAACGACCACATCTTCTACGACGAACTGCAGACCGACGGAGAGTTCCACAAGCTAGGCAAAGGGAAATCTAAATAAATGCTAATTTATTGGCCAGGATATTAGCAAGCTTTGCATGAACTGAAACTATTCATCAAGACGAGTTCTCACACTCTTGAAATAAATCATAAGAATTAAAATAGCTTAGTTTGATGATCTTATATCCAGATCATTGAGAAACATGTCGTCGTAGGCAACATTCTCAAACACCTTGTTCAAAAGGACAGTAAACGATGTGGTGAAAAGTTCGGCTATGCTGGGCTGCAACTCATTCCAGCACTCCACCCAGTTGTCGTTGAGCACCTTATTCATTAAAATAGTCACGTCCATGTTTTCCTTGTACAGGTCATCTAACCAGATGATCCAGCTACAATTTGAAAGGGTTACTCTCGGAATCTGGGAGCTCTGTCTAGGCGCCATCCACTCACCGGTCCAAGTCCATCTTGGGCTTCAGATTGTAAATCTTCAGATAGCGCTTGCCATTCCTGTACTCCACCAACGTCTTGATGGTCAGGGTGATGCGAAAGTTTTGGTGGTCGCTCGACAGCCGACCAGTGGTGTTGAAGGCGAAGTGGAGGAACTTGCCCTCCATGTCGTAGGTGGCCTCGTGCAGGAGTCGTGGCAGGCGGGCTGTCAGAACGATCTGCTTCTGGTTGGGCTCACGCAGAAATCCCTCCACGTGGGTTATTGTGGCGTTATTGAAACCCTTGTTCACATTGTCCCGCATTCGAAAGTTTATCCAGATGGGCCCGCGATCCGACGATTCCAGAAGGGAAAAGTCCGGAAAGTAGTAGGCATCCAGTGGCGGTAGGCCAATTTCTGGAATGCCCATGGGGTAGCTCTTGATCAACGCATTGATAGACCTAATAATACAGGTGGAGTCTGCGTAATGGCACTTTTCAACGCCTTCAGCTGGAAATGATGGGCTCAGTAAAAATCAGATCAACATGACACCTGAATAATTACGCACGTAAGTCTGCTCCCGAGATTATAGCTGGGATACAGGAACACACCCAAGCTAGCGAAAACAACTTGTTCATTGCGATGGCGTAATTTAACTGACTATAAAACAATTAACGCTTCGGTCACGATACAATTAATTCCACTCAAATACTTAGAACCTGCTCTAAGCGAAGCTTTTCAACTATCAACAATAACACATTTAATGCAAATAAATTAGTACAACCGGTTTGCGTGCAATATTAATCTTTGTCCTTCCTTGTCTCCAATAAAACTGGAATGCATTAGCCTACTCCGACTTTAATCATTTACTGCGAATTCCTTAGGAACCGGTAAGAACATATCATCATAGGAGACCTTTTTAAAGACGTCCTCAAATATATCGCGGAAAACACTTGCGAATATTTTCAGATTTGTGGGCTCCAGCTCGTTCCAGAACTCCACCCAGTGCAGATTGAAGACCTGGTTTATGGCTATCGTCAGATCCGTGTTCGATTCGAAAAAGTTGTCCAGCCAAAAAACCCATCTGAATAACCATTTTCATTGAGATGATATCAGATTATAGCAGAGCAGAGCCCAACTCACCGGTCCATGTTCACAAAGGGATTTAGCTCGTAGATCTTTAGGTAACGCTTATTATTCCGATACTCCATGATCACCTTTAGCTTGAGAACGAAGCGAAAGTTCTGAAAGTCCGAGAAGGATTCCCCCGTGGAATTTAGCTGCACAATCCACACTCTTCCTTGAGAGAAGTAGCTGCCCTTGTGGATGAGACTGGGTATCCGGCCGTGAATTTCGATCAGGCTGGAGGTGGGATTCTCGTCGAATCCATTTACCTTTGTGATTGTCGTGTTCTCGAAGCCGTAGTTCACCTGATCGAACAGATCAAACTGCAGCCAGAAGGCGCCTACCCTCTCATCGTTCCAAAACTTCGAGTTCCTGATGTCCACCACATCAATGGGTTTTAGTCCCAGCGCCGGTATTCCTCTGGGAAACTTCTTTATTAACGCATTCATAGAATCCACGATGCACTGGGACTCTCCAAAATGGCACTTTTTAATTTCCTTTGCTAGAGTTTTGTATGGTAATTGAAATACAATTTAGTGAACAGTGGGCTCCAAAGACTGTCTTCGTTACCTACGTATCATCTGGCTCTGCAGCGATCCGAGGAGCTGCAGGCTTAGCACAATAATTAATATATCGCGCATTCCTATCCAGTTTGTGCAACTAGTATTCCATGTGCACTTCTAGTGCCTTCAGCCGTCGAATCTCATTTGAAACTGTATGGTGGAAAAACAACTGGTACGCAATTATGCGCCTTCATATATCGAAAACCGGTTGCAAGCTTTACTTGATTTATTTGCATTTTCAACTTGAAGTATTTTTTAAATCATCAATGAAAGTAAAGTAGAAGATATGTACAATTTGAGTGTGTATAACAGCTGCAATCCAATTGTAGGTTTTTTTAACTTTTTATTTAATAGGAACTAGTTAATAAAAGTGACAACATCAATTTAACAGGGTCAAACTCATAAGCTACTACTTATTGAGGAAAAGATCGTCACAGGCAACTTTTTGAAATACATCTTCAATAAGATTAGTAAAAACACTTTGAAAAATGTCCAAAATCGACGGCTCCAGTTCGTTCCAGAACTCCACCCAATTCTTGTTGATAACTTGATTCACGGCTTTAGTTAGGTCAGAGTTTTCAGGTAAGAAGTCATCCAGCCTTATAATCCAACTGAAAAAACACACATTCTTATGGAAGAAAATATTGGTTCAAAATTAGACATTACCGATCCAATTTAAGTCGTGGCACTAGCTCGTAAACCTTCAGATATCTCTTATTGTTTCGATACTCAATGGTGACTTTTAGCTTGAGAAAGAACTTAAAGTTCTGCAAATCAGATACCGATTCGCCCTTGGAATTCGCCTCCATTAACAATAGTTTCCCGTTGACCACGTATTTTCCTTTGTGCACGAGACTGGGAATCTTGCCATGAATCTCCAGCGAGGTCGAAGTAGGGTCCCTGTCAAAGCCCTTGACTTCGGTGATCGTTGTGTTTTCGAAGCCGTAGTTCAGCTGGTCGAACAACCGAAACTTGAGCCACACGGGGCCAATGTCCACGTTATTCCAAATTTTAAAGTCAGCTTTGTCGACAATATCGATGGGTTTTGTGCCCAAAACGGGTATGCCTTTTGGAAAGCTCTTTATGACTTGGTTCATACTCTGTATTATACATTTGGAGTCTCCATAGTGGCACCGTTTTATTAACTTGCTTATGTCTAATGAAAATTGAAACAGATTAGTTTTTCTTTTTGATTTGCCTTAATGTCTCACCCAAAGCTTCACATCTCAGAATGGCAACCAGTTGCAGCAGGCCTATGATCGTTATAAAACAAGCCCACATTTCGCTTCCACAGATGAGAAACTCAGAATGTAAGCTTGTGTTGGCATCAACAGTCAATTGGCAAATAAACTTACAACTTAGAACAAGAATGACTCCCATTTTTCAATTGCAGTTTTCTAAGGCCAACAAACCTGGTAGGAATGTGTACAAATCGAAAACCAGTTTCCCCTTCAAAATGGTGTATTTTTTTAACATATTAACTGTGGGGAGTTAAAAGGTGAGCTACGGCTAATTTATACAAAACATTTTCAGAGAAAATTTGTTACCCTATGCTATTCTTACTACCAACTATGTTTAAGTTAATACTACTTAGCATAAGTCTAGTTTGAGTCTTCATCGGCTAGGAACAGATCATCATAAGGTACTTTTTCGAACAGATCCTCGACCATGCTGAGGAAGACGGTTTCGAACAATCGCAGGATGCTCGGCTCCATTTCGTTCCAGAACTCTACCCAGTTCCGGTTAAATAGATTGTTGATTGCTATGGTCAGGTCGTAGTTATCCGGAAAGAAATTGTCCAGCCACATTATCCACCTGTTGTTGGAGCATAAATCTTGTATTATAAAAATTGCTCAAATGGTAGTTTGCTTTAAATGCTTTTAAAAATGTACTGTTGTGTGTCAAGATACATTTTTAGATAAAGTAGTTTCAATTGAATGAATTAACTCACCTGTCGAGCCTTATATTGGGGACCAGCTCATAAATCTTAAGGTATCTCTTATTGTTCCTGTACTCGATTCGCACTTTTAACGTAAGATCGAACCGGAAATTGAGAAAATCTGACTCCGAGGTCCCGTGTGAGTTTATGTCCACGAACCAGAGCATCCGACCCTTGGCCAGATAGTCGCCCTTGTAGACAAGTCGGGGAATCTTTCCGTGAATTTCGATCTTGGTGGAGGTGGGATCCCGGTCGAAGCCCCGAATCTCCGTGATGGTGGTGTTCTCGAAGCCGTAGTTTATCTGGTTGAGTAGCTCGAAGAAGTACCAGGCCCCACCCACCTGGGAATCGTTGACCAGCAGCCAGTCCCGCACGGGCACCACATTAAAGGGCTTCAGATTGACCTCGGGTATGCCTTTTGGGTAGTTCCTTAACAGGGCATTGGCCGACTCCACCAGGCACTTGCCATCGCCGTAGTGGCACTTCTTCACCTTTGCGGCTGTGGAAGAGTTGTTAATTCACCGATTCTGATAAGGATATCCCCTTTAAAGCACCCACGCAAACTCTGACACAGCAGTCCAACGTATAGCTGAAGGCTGATAACCACGTAGGCCAGAAATCGCATCTCAAACCAGAATGAAAATGAATCCTCCACAAATTACGCAAAGCTCTCAGTTGACCGATGCACTTGCTTAGCCGATTGCAACTACTCGATGATTAAAACAGATTTGTTGTTATGGTGGAACATTCATAAGGAAATCTAAGCAACTGCTATTATCATAACGTGTTGTCTATATAATCACTGAGAAAAAATGCATATCTTAAGTAGTCAGGATATAAAGTGCATACTTTATGAATGTTCTTCCTGAAACAGATTAACCTATATATTGCGTAGAAGACAGAAATCAATATATATACATGTATAATATATATTTAAATGTATATCTTGGCAACCTAAATCAATTTTATTACGATTATTCCCAGTGCTGTAATAAAATAATTTACTGCTTTATATTAGCGTTGCTCGATCGACCTCTCATTTTAAAATAAGAGCTAAGCTGAAAAGCTTCTGGGTTTTGAGCTTTCACCACACCTGAATGATATTTAGTATCCCTTACTAGAACAAATTAGTCAGTTAAAAAAACATTAGATAACAAATTATATAAATGTTATAATCTTAGTATCAGGATTTCTCTGGCTTCTGGTTCAACATAAAAAATAACATTAACAGCATGAAGTGAATATATTTTATTTTGGCTTTCTAAGAAATACAAACTAAATAATATTTATAGAAAATTTAATTTTAAAAACTGGGTTTTTGGTTTAGAAATATAAGACCAAATAATTTCTACAAAAAAACTGTAAAACCTAAAAATTACAAATAATAATTCGATGCCTATAACAACAATAGGTCTAAAATTTCTAAGCTCTATAGAAATCATCATAAGGCAAATTGTTAGCCACTCGCTTTAGAATCGATTCGACCAGTTGATCCACTGCCGATGTGATACCCTTGCGAAGGGTATGCCAAATATCCAGCCACTTGGTGTTGGCCACCCCGTTCATGGCATCGCTCAAGTCCGGATTATTGAAAAGATTTTCAAAATTCAGATACATGCTGATCAGGAAGAATCACTAAATTCAAAAGGGATTCACTAAAAATATATTTAATCTTACCCCTGCACCTCCAGCAAGCACTTGACCTTGGCTATCTCGGCATATCGTTTGCCATCTTCTCGCAGTTGCTCCACTGCCCTCACCTTGCAGCGAAAGCGGCACTCCTTGACCTCCACCTGGGCCTGGCCCATTCCCTGGATGGGCATCGTCAGCAGACTGCCATGCATCTCGTAAAACCCATCCAGTTTGAGCAATGGAATCCAGCCACTGAACTCCAGAGTTCGAGGCAAATCAGCATCGAATCCCTTTGTCTCCGCCACTGTAGAGTCTGCGAATCCCCTTACGGTTAAGTTATGGAATCTCAAGTCCAATGTTGATGGGCCATCTGGTTCCACACGACTAACGATCACATTATCAAATCCAATCGAATCGAGTGCATCCAATCCAATGGAGGGCAGACCCTTGGGATACAATCGTAAAATGCGCGTCACAGTTTCCGCTATGCAGACTGAATCACCAGCCTTACATTTTTCAATCTCAGGAGCTACAGGTAATACAAATGAATTGGGCTATTCAAATAATATCCTTCCACTTACGCAGTTGTCCCAGTGCGAGAGCCATCCACAGACTACAAATAAATAGGGTTAAGCTCATTTCGATTCGGGTTAGGTGTCAGATAATTAATGGATGAGCTTCCGACTAACTATTCGCTTTTATAGGCCATTAGCGCCAGCTAATAATTGGCAGTTACATGCAAATGCAAATCGAATAATAGAAACTTGAGTGAATAGATATAGTATATATCGACGCCCACACCTGTCACCTCACTTTATGTAGATAGAACGATTTAGTGATTACCTCATTAACCGTTTCGGGCTATAATTTTCACTTTCAGTCAGTTAATCGGTCATTACACTGGAGGGTTTTAATTACAACTAAACGTTAAGGTGGTTTGCAACACGTTTTCAATGGGCTTAGATATGTGCCGATATTGACGTAAAACTTGTTTTTCATAATAAAACCCATTACCAAATTTGTTTCTTATTATAATACAAATCTTTATTTATAGCAATTTTTGTACACAACAATTTTTAAAATATTTGTATGTAGCTAGCTAGGAGATAATGGACTCCTCTGGACCTTTAGTTTACATTAAAAAGTGCAGCTTTAATGAAGAAGTTCTTAGGATAAACAGTACAAAATAAATACAAAGTACAAAGTGTCTTTTTTAAAACATTTGATAAATAATTACTCACACACATTCAATAAAAGAGACACAAAATGATATAAATTTTACAGGCAGATTTGAACCTATTTTGATAATTGATGTGGTTCGATTTACGCTCAGTTAATTTCACAGCCTTATTATTAATAGACTTTATAACTATTTGCTTTAATTAAAAGTGCTTTCGATTAGTGCTAATTTCGACGATCTCATGGATTTTGTTTTTTGTCTCTCTGCGCTTTTTAGTAAGTAGTGTTCATTATCCATTTTTGGTTTGCATTCAAATTAGAATTTAGTTATTGTGTTGCACTGATCCAAGGTCCTCTGGGAGGACCCCTTAAAAAAGAATACCCGAAGCAACAACGGACGCCAATCCATTCCACGCCAGCCAGACCGAATCGGAACTCGACCTGGTCGTAGAAAAATCTGCCACATTGTGTCCGTTGTCGAGTAGTTTGTTACGCCGGCGGCATTCACGGAGCCAATTGGAACGCCACCGCTAGCTGAGGATGACGTGCTGCCCCCCAGTTCCGTTTACATTGCTGCTTGGACAGCCGACCTCGTTGTTGTTGCTGTTCGTGAAACAAACCTCCTCACTGCCATCGGAATCAGTGCAGCACAGTAATGGCTACGCATCCTCACCGTCCATACCGTCAACGGCCTCCACCTCGTTTTCGGCACTCGTGGCAATCCTGCAAGGAAAGTTGTGGAAAAATTGTATAAATGATTGATGATTGATGTACAATGATGGGTGTATATGATGTTGTTTTAAGTGCAAGTCCCTCGTCAATGCAAAAGTAAGTTAAAATTAAATATTTATTTATTTTAAATGTACAAGCATGCCCTTCCTAGTTCACCAAATTTGTATATAAATTCAGAAAGTTTGCAAATTCTTTAACAACAACACTTAACGAGTTGATCCACGCAAGCTAGTCTCTCAGTTTTAAGGCTAAATAGACAAATATTTCAAAAAGCCTTCTTTTTATTTCAATTCATAGAATTTAATTTCAAACATAAACGCATTTACGCCAAGATAGTAATTTCTTACGACTACAGAAATACGAGTAAAGTTTTTTTAAATAGCACGATTTTATCATATAGCTCTTAAAGATCCGAAAATTAATAGAAAAATAATATATACTCATATAACTCGATTTACTTTTGTCGTCTGTAAAGTATGGATGAAATCAAATAAGTGACAGTATCTCAAAAAATAGTAGTAGTTATGGTTTGCGATTAGTACTTAAATAATAAATCAATAGTGTTAGCATTCAAAGTAATTATAAATTGATTATGAAAATATTGTGTATGCTCATAAAAAAAGCAAAATATTACAACAAGAAGCTTTCCCTATTTTAAAAAGAGTAGATCTTTTTTGATTGCTTTCTTTGAAAAACTTTTTAAATTTTGAATACAAAAAAAGATACTTGTGTTTAAACCTCTACTAATTTTTTTTTAATTTTTAGAAGTTCGCCTGGTTTTACTTAAATTTCTTATAGTTTGAATGCCATATCTGCTAAAATTGTCCCTTAATAATGACTAAATTATCTAATCGACAAAAATTAAATGAAAATATTGAACGTAAACTTAAGTTCACAATTCATACAAGGTTAGCCAAAACATACAGAAAAAATCACCTCATGAAATATCAAAAACATTAAAATTCACACGTAAACAAACAAGTTAAAAGCAAACAAAGTAAAAAACCACCGGCAAACACAAAAACGAAATTTGAATTTTTATTGTCTGGAAAGGAAAGTGGAAAGTTTTGTGAAATTTATTTATTTCTAGAGTTAATAAATATGTCTACATAAAATAACAATGATTTATACAAAGCTTCTAATATCAACATAATGTTTTCAGAAGATTAGTACGTACAATTCGACTACAAATAATCTAAAAATAACATCTATAGGGAAATACTTATAGTGCAGAACTTATTACCCTAAATTCTTTACAACATTTACATAAAGTTGGGCGCGAATTTGAAATTTTACAATCGATTTAGGAAATCTGACGAAATTTGACTTAAGACTATCTTAATTCGTTTCGTTGGGTGAGATTCTGATTTGGATTTGGAATGGAGTTTCTTGCGATTCCATTATCGTTAAGTGTCAGCTCGCTATGTACATTATTTGCAGGATCCAATCCAGAATTGATGTGGTAGTAGTTCGTTCACGTTGATGAGGCCCCAAGCAAAAAAAGAAAATAAGTTTTGACCAGCACAATTTTGGGCTTGGCACATTTCGGCCATGATATTTAAAGTCAAGTGAAAAAAATGGATTTTTATTTATTTCAATGGTCATGGCACGCGTTCTCTAATCGATTGAAATTTGGCAAACTCAATTAGTCTCGTTTTCGTTTTGCCTTCGATTATGTTTTGCATTGAAATTTTGCATATTATGCGCCATTCTTCAAAAATCAATTTGGAATAAATTTGATAAAATGTTTCGAAAAGTAATTTCAATTCGTTTGTATCAATGCCAAAAAATCCATTTCCACATAAAAAGAAAATAAAATTTTGTGGTCGTTGTGCACGTGTGTGTTCGAGTTTAAAATTGTTTTTGTGTGTGTCAATTTGAAAAGGTTGGTTGTTTTTGTAGTAGTTGTTGTTTTGTGTATTTGTTTCGCACATTTCAATTAGACACAAATGAATGGGAAACGGGAAATATCAATCAATCCAGTCGTATAGTCGACACCAAGTATAAGAGTAGGGTGTATGGTGTATAAGATAGTTCGGATAAAGAGGGACAGTGGTGAAACACACAGACAGTTACAGAGAGTACAGGGTTTCCGAGTACATATAATAAAAAAGAAATGTCATGAGACAATATTATTTGAAAATTAGCCACAAATTTGAAGTATTTTTGAATATTTTAGTGATGTTAAGATGATAAATGATCCACGCCCAAAGTGTTTTAATGCCCATTTAAAAAATTAACTTAAAATAGTCTATGGTGTATTATAACTAAGTCATAAAAATGTTAAGCTCTATAGATTAAAATTGCGATTAAAGAATGTTGAATTTTTCTTTACGTTTCATACGTAGTTATCTTTTGTGTAGTAAATCCTTTCAATTCCGATTATTTTCCATTTATCAAAAATACCAATTACCAATAAATTGAAAGACTTTTCAAGTAATACTTAGTGATAAATGCAACTTTATTTAACATGCTAAGCGCCAAAGCCTTATAAGTACATAATACCCATTGCTCGATAAAGCAATCAGTGGACTTACCAGAGACACTCTTACTATCTATAGGACCCCATCGTTGATGGGTAAATGCTTTCTATTTACAAACGTAGGTTCCCTAAAGGCATGCCTTAAAAATTCTAAGGGTTTCGTAGAGCTTTACTAGGTACTTGTTAGTAGTGTTAAGCGTGTGATTTAGTGTTAATATCACAAAGGTGTGTGTGGGGGAGTCTGGCCTGAATGAGTCACTTGGATGATTCAGTTAGGCACTTTCTCCGAGACGGTATCGAGACCTTTCACCGTGTTAGTAGCAGAATCGCCTACAACTAAGGTTACATCACTGTGAAGAATTGAGAGAAGAGAGCATAGCAAGATATGTTTTGGGAGTTTAGTTTCGGTTCAGAGATCGTAACCAGATGTAAATTAGTAGAGGTAGAGGTTTAGAGCTTACAGATGGGATAGGATTAGGATAAATTAGAAGTAGTAAAGCCAATTCAGTTGAAGAACAGTGCAAGAAGAAACTTAATCACAAGCTAAAGATTAGGAGAGATAGCTACTAAAGAAGGATATGCAGATTGAGACAGTTTGTGCAGTTGAGTGTGGTTTGGATGGTGATGTGGTTGGGTGAATTCAATCTGGAACATACCTGGCATACGTCGAGTTGGCGTTCTTTATCGAAAAGCTGTTCTGGCTCGGCAACACGAAGCGCTGAACCCACTGTAAATAGAAAATACCTTGAGTACCAGTAGATGAAGTAGGCATAAGCCCTGCAAAACCCCCAAGAACCATATGTGGTCAGTCACGTAAATTGATAAAGTCAGTCCATTGATGTCGGTATCAGTGATGCTTTAAAAAGTGTCAAAACAGTCGCCTAACTTGTGATTTGCTAATCCCTCTTGATAAGTGGCCCAAATGCTCACCCTACTGTTCACCAGGCGCTGATTGCCCATGCAAGCGGCCATGTGTATCACAAGGTATAGGTTAAAGAGTAAATATAGAATGGCAAATATACCTGCAATTAGATAGAGAAAAGGGAATCTATTAGCATCAGGATAAAATAAAAGGAACAATTGACTACTCACAGACTAGGGCCAGCAAACCGCCTTTTATTTCCATGTTCTCCACCTGCACTACGACAAAGTACAAATTAACGCCAATCACCACAATGGTCAGAAGTATAGAAACGATTTTGTTGCCCCTGTAAACACAGAAAATTAAAGATTGCCCGAGAATCAATTAAACGTTTTATATCACTCACAATCCATTGACAAACTCGCCCATAATGGCGGCACTCGAGGTGAATGCGATGGTGGGTATGGCAGCGAATGGCAGTTGGAGCGACATCACCGCGTTTAGGATGTCGTTCATGCTGGTCAAATCTTCCATCTTGCTGAACATGGCCAAACAGAAGGTGGGAATAATGGCAATGCAGCGAGTGACCAGCACGCGACACCAGCGCGGCCATTGCAGATTGAGGAATCCCTCCATGGAGAACTGACCCGCATAGGTGCCGGTCATGGTAGAGCTCTGACCCGCAGCCAGAATGCCAACCCCCCAAATGTACATGGCCACAGCACCAAAGGTGCAACCAAGGAAGAGTCCACCCTTGTACAGATCTGCATCGATTATGGCAGTTCCATTCTGATTGTCCACGAATGACATTTTGGCATCTTCGTACATTGACTTGTTGGTACATACATCAAGCTAGTGAATACAAAAAGGTAACCCTTAGTTTTAAATCAATTGTATCTCAAGATCCTCTACTCACCACATCTTTGTTCGTTTTACCATACATGCCGTGCGCAAACACAGCCACCACAAACAGATTAATGATAAAGGACACAAAAAGAGCTACGGAGGCCTCAATGAAGAAGTAGAAATTCGCCTCGCTTACTTTTTTAGGCTGGCGGCGATCTATATCGCGGGACTGTGAGGGAAAGCGTAGTTATTTAAACAAAAATTGTATGAAATATGTGGGATTCTTACCTTAACCAAGGCCGAATGGAGATAGAGATTGTGGGGCATAATAACAGCACCCACTACGCCCACCGCCTGCAGCAGCACGTTCGAATTGCAATCAGAGCACCAGGGCACAAACATCCCCTCAAGAACCTCTCCTTGATTGGGGGCTGACACAATATACTAAAATAAAATGAGCAATAAAAAATTAGTAAATAGTTTCGTGATAAAAGCGAAGTCGCCTAGGCTATCTCATTATTTTATAAAGGGATGACGGAAACAATTTACTTATTTGTGAAAAAACTCCCAGTATCCCCAGAGTTTATATATTTACATTGGTTTCCATTTTACTAATCGCAGAAAACCCCCAATGGATAATTGTAAAATTCAGCATTGTATAATCAAACTGATAAGGTCTGGCATTCTTTATCCCACATGGAATTGTTTGTCATTTCCGGCAGCATCATGTGCTTGGCCAGCGGCAGATAATGTCCCAGAACCCCCTGCTCATAGCCTCTTTAAAATGTGCAAGTGCAACTTATCTAATCATCTGGGTCTCTGACTGGGGCAGACAGCTCAAGTACACTTGCTTATTATCTGGGCTGTAAACATGACGCTGTCGTAAATTTAAGAGTAAATGAAGTTTGCTTAAGGGCTGGCTTCAACAAATTAGTAATATTACGAAAATACCCCTACCAAATGAAAATGTGCAATTTATAACCCTTTGACGAGGCATAACAAGAATACTGTTGAGTTCTTTTCAATTACGTTTGGGCACAATTGTTTAAACAAATTGTATTTGCACTCACGTCTGGCAATTTATTCTCATGACTACTTTATGGCGCAAAGCTAGGGGAATTTTCGCTGTTTTTGGGGATTGCTTTTAAAAATAAATTTGAGTACTTGTTTTTTAAGTCGTTTTGAACATACTTGATAGCCAAATGAGACAGCCATGATGGTGATGAGGGAACCAAACAGGAACTCCAGCTTGCGTAAACCGTATTTGTCCAGAAACAGGAACGTGAACGTGTCGACAATGGTGATCAGAACGCCGCCCCACAAAGGCACTCTACAAAGCAGGGGGAAAAACGGAATGAGTACCGGGTATTCACATATTACTCGCAATAGATTTGCTTACACTTTATTGGACAGCAAGTATATGGCGATGGCCGTGCCAATAACCTCCTGCATGTCGGAGCCAATAATAGCTATCTCTATCATTATCCAGAGGATCCAACGTGGCAGACGCTTGTACTGTCTGTAGCACATCTCGGCCAGATGCAGACCTGTCACCACACCCAGCCTGAAAGGGCAATCATTTTTAATTTGTTTGGGGGAACGTTGAGACCCACTCACCTTGCAGCCAAGCGTTGCATTAGTAGACCCAAGACAGTGGCCCAGAGCAAGACCCACAAGATCTTGTACTTCGCTGCCGCACCAGACTGCATATCGGATTCGATGTTGCCGGGATCCAAATATGCGATGGACATGAGAAAACCGGGTCCCGTGAAGGCCCACAGCTTGCGAAAGCTGAAAACCACCTGCAGAGTATAAGGTATCGGTTTAAGTTTGCCCAATTTGGTTATTTAAGTTAAACTCACATTTGTGCGTTCATCATCGGGTATGAGGACCTTCTCATCGCTGAAGTAGGCCTGCTTGGCGGCGGGTTTCAGATAGGTCGTCTCGTTGAGTATCTGTTGGTGGTGGAGATGGCTGCTCCGCTGACTGCCACCCGGGCCATCGCCTCCAGCGGTCTGCTCGTTATTCCTGTGGTAGGCCTCATTTGAAGACATGCTGCAATGGATAAATAAATTAGATTATACACATGCTCCTATTTCTGCTCACTGCCCTCCACCGACTGTTCTATGTTAATCTGTATTTTCTGTACGATTGTTTCACTTGCTAATAATTCTCACAATTTCCATTTAATTGAACATTTCCATGTGATTTCAGCTCAATTAGCATTATAAAAATGCAAACAAAAAATAAATCGATTTCACGCTATATAAGATTGAAATTTCTGAACCATATAACTTTTTGGCATTCGACATGCAAATATTATACTTCAAATAAATAAAATTTCATCCAAAGTCAAAGTAACACGTTTTGTATTTTCCCAAAACGAGCGGAAAAAAAATAAACTAGAAACAAAAATAATTCAAGAAGCATTTGCAGGAAAAATTGATAACGCATCCATAATAGAAATTCCATACTTTGTTCTTATATTAACTCGTAAGCCTTTTATGAGGAAATAAAACATAGGTTTATGACTCATATATACATACAGTGGCTCACAGCTTATTTGACCCACACCTAATTTTCAACATTAAACAGGTATAACTCCTGAACCATAAGAGATACGCATAAAAATAAGACGCAGAAAGGTTAACTGTTGTTTTAACTTCAAAAATATGTTTTCATTTATTTATTTTTGTAAGGATTATTTTGATTTAAGACAATAAAAACTAAAAATACTGCTTTTCAACGTCACAGCTTATTTGACCCAGTTCATCAAATTAATTTTAAAAAATTGCATAAAAATATTTTTTAACTTTTAGTATTTGGTATGACCGCCCTTTTGGTACACAACCATTTCAGTCGATTGGGAATAGATTCGACCAATTTTTTGAGGTTCCTGGGGTGATTTTGGCCCATTCTTCGAGTAAAGCCGTTTTCAAGTCATTTTTATTGGAAATTTTGCGCTCCCGAATTTTTAGTCCCGCAAAGCCCACAAATTCTCAATAACATTAAAATCGGGTGACTGAGCTGGAGGTTTCATTATATCGGGACAATTATATCCAGCCAATATTGAATAATACCCTACTTGTGCTTTGGGTCATTGTCTTGGTAGAACCAAAACCCTGTTTTATTCCCAATTTCTCAGCACTTTGGAGTAAATTATTCTAAAGGATATTAAGATAAACATTTTTATTCATTATGCTTTCAATAAATTTTAGGTTTCCGACTCCTGCTGCGGACTTACAGGCCCAAACCATAACGTGTCCGCCACCATGCTTAACGGTGGGTGGTTTTAGATGCACTTTGTCCTGCAGCTCTGTATTGGCTTTAGCGCCTATGGAGCATTTAGACCCAAAAATATTACGTCATTTTCGCTGATGAGTCAAAATTTAATATTTTTGGTCCGAGGACGTTCTTAGCTATGTCGTAAAGCCAATGACAGAGCTGCAGGACAAACATCTAAAACCCACCGTTAAGCATGACGGCGGACACGTTATGGTTTGGGCCTGTAAGTCCGCAGCAGGAGTCGGAAACCTAAAATTTATTGAAAGCATAATGAATAAAAATGTTTATCTTAATATCCATTTAGGAGTCAATTTACTCCAAAGTGCTGAGAAATCTGGGAATAAAACAGGGTTTTGGTTCTATCAAGACAATGACCCAAAGCATAAGTAGGGAATTATGTCAATATTGGCTCATTTATAATTGTCCCGAATATAATGAAATCTCCAGCCTGGTCTCCAGATTTTAATGTTATTGAGAATTTGTGGGCTTTGCGGGAAAATATCGGGAGCAGCAAAATTTCCAATCAAAATGACCTAAAAAACGGCTTTGCTCGAAGAATGGGCCAAAATCAGTCCCCAGGAACCTCAAAAAATTGGTCGAATCTATTCCCAATCGACTGAAGTCGATTGTTGGACCAAAAAGGGCGGACATACCAAATACTAAAAGTTAAAAAATCATTTTTAGTGCTTAATCTTTTAAAATTAATTTGATGAACTGGGTCAAATAAGCTGTGACATTGATAAAAGGCAGTTATTTTAGTTTTTATAGTTTAATTAATAAGTTCCTTGCTAGAAAAATAATTTAAAAACATAATTCTTAAATAAAAGTTAAAATACAGAGCTTAATTTCTGCGTTTTATTTTTATCCAGTACTCTCTTATGGTTCATGAGTTATACCTGTTTAATGTTGAAAATTAGGTGTGGGTCAAATAAGCTGTGAGCCACTGTATGTGCGCACAACAGTCCAGTAATTGAAATTCCTTTATGCAATTTACCACAGCGAATATTTATTGTACAAACACATTTGCATAAAGCAATCATTTAGATATGGCTTATTAAAATAACCAAAAAAATAACTACGAGACTATTGACCTGCAGATCGTTATGAATTTTTGGGTTCCGTTTATTTGATAAAAACAAATTACAAGTGCATTTTGTACGGGATGCTTGAGCAACCAAGAGCTCTTCAAAACCATATGTATTGTTAAAAAAAAGCGCCAAGTGGCTCACCTTGACAAGCGCTGCTGCCCCACTGATGCTATATATCTGCTATAAGGCTTTCCACATCGCTTCATCGATGACGGACGGAACGGAGCAAAACAAAGACAAAGAGCCCGAGAGCATCGGGCGATGTCTACTTAGATGTGGCATTTAATCGGGTTTATAGTATATGGCAAGCGAGTTGGCCAAATCAAGGCGCCATTAATGGAGCTTTAATTGTGCCTATTGCTAGGTGCAACTTTTTTGAGGCAAAGTGTAACGAATCGACGAAAGGTGTCTAGTTCATTGGAACATTATATATGTACATATGTCGCATCACGCTCTGTTTACCCAGTTGTATGGCAATACCCACGCCCCCAAAACAGAATTCAAGTCGATAAGCACATAATCAGCTACGTGTTCGTCTACCATTTTAGTACCAAATCAGATTCCGTAAATTTTAATAATTTTAAAGCAAAAAAAACCCAAATCTGCTACAATTTAAGGTCTATTGAGTGTCCATATTACCCATTTGCGTTGACAAAAATTCTGTTTATTTCGAGAAAATATATTTAAAACTGCGTACCATTTTGCGCAGTCAGCGTAAATAAACAAATTAATTTGTAGCAGCAAAAAAAAACACTTGGCAACAAAACAGAACATAATTCTAAACAAAGATAACAGTAATTCGAAAATAGAAGAGCTTACTTATCAGCAGCAGATTGTTAATTCGTTTGTTTTTTAAACTGTAATTATATGCTGTCTGTTGGGTTCTTAAAATTGTTTTTTATGGAAATGCGCAGGCAATAAAACGAAATTGCATGTAGGCAACTAAGCCATTGTCAGAGGATTTAAAAGTGCGAAACAATTGCTTTTACGGTTGAGAACTAATCTTAACAATAATATATCATTCACTTTGCCGGTTAAGGAAAGAGAGGGGGAGTTTTGGGAAAAATAGAGAGAGAGCGCACGTTTTTGTTATTAGCACACACCTGCGCACACTCACACACGCACGGGTAAAAACACGAAATATTGATGGAGATGTAAATTATTGGATAACATGGGCTAGCACCACTTCCTACAATTAAATGTGGCTTACTTGCAGCTGTGGGGATAACTAATTGAAGCGCTCGCTTTTATTATATCACTCAGAACACAAAGAAGCGGCGACTTGACACTTATTACTGCTTTTTAATGCATTTTCCGAGCTTTTTCTCGCGGACCAATTTACGAATTCGGTGACGTTGGACGGCACGACAAAGAAACAATAGCGACAACAAATTTGAAGAGGAGGCCACTTCGACTGCCAATTCTTGACTTAGTTAACGGCAATTGACGAGCGTACAGGCAATTTGTGCTCGCCCCCGAGCGCTGCTCTTTGTTTATTAATTTTCCTCGCAATATTTGTGATTCGGGCACCAGCTGCTTTCTTTTCACGCACACTTACACGCACAATTTCTTCCGCCGATGTGGCAACCTTCTCTCACTCTCTTCGTTTTGCCAAAATCTGGCAGCACCTGGCACTTCAGTAGTTTATGGGCCAAACTGAAGTTTTCGAGTGACTATAGCATTTAGCAGTAGCCGTCTATTTATTCGAGTTCACTTACTGATAGCAGCCACAGAGCGGGAGAGAGCGCGTGGGAGACAAAGAGAGAGTGAGAGAGAAGGGGATTTTTTGATAATGCCTCAGAATTCTTTTGAGTGGCCACAAATACCGCCTAAGATTTAAATTTGACATTTCAAATACCGGTTTGTCAAACGACTTCGCCAATTTCTCTCTTTTTTTCCCCCTTTCTCTTATCACTAACCACAGGTTATGGCTACCTTTAGTCGTGTGGGTATAGAGTTCCATTTAACGGACAATCAAACTTCAATTTTCTCCACGTTGCAACCAACACGCACACTTTATCGTAATACCCCTTGAAATTAAATTTATAAATCAACTTTATCACCTATATCTTGATTTTGTCTGGCAATTCTTCCGATTGCCATCCGTCTGCAATAATCACGAAAAACTTATCAAGTCGCCGCTTCTTTTGGGTTGTCGTTCAAATTTACAACTTATGTTTTTTTACTGATAAATCAGCACAATGCAAAGTTCTCTTTCTTTGTCGAACCCATATATGTACATATATACTTATGTATCACCATACCATGATTCATGGCGGTGGGTTCATGTATGTAACTTTTCATACACTTCCAGATTAAACTGCGTTTGGTAAGCGGCTGATAAGAAACACGTTCCTTTAAAGAAAGGCCTTGACAGTCCTACCCCATTTTAGAGCGAAATGTAGTAGGTTCTTATCATATACAAAATGTTAGATCCTCTGCGGTCCCATGGGGTAGAACTTCCTGCCCAAGTAACTCAATTTCCAGGATGAGTCATTTAATTAATTTCATATATCAAAAGTTGCCCCACCACCAAAAAGTTTTTCTTTAGGTTTTCCCTTGGGACCAATCAATTAAATGATTTAATCAGACTTTTAAATACAAATTGAAGCAAATGACTCCAACAATACAAAATCCAGACTCCACACTAATTAAATAACTAAGTTGTAAAATAAATCATTTTAGAAATAAATCAAAAACGGTTTTCCACATGTTATCAACAATAAATGTCTGTCCCACATATGTATGTCTGTGATGAGATTTGTGTGATTCAAATATATCTTAGGCCTAATGTAAAAACCCTTTTAGTTTTTAATTAACTTTATTATTTATGTATTTCTTTATCAAAAGAGCAGACTTTTTGTTGTGACTGTCTTCAACATTAGATCTCACCTGACGCGGGAAACTCTCGTAGACTTTATACAATTTAAAAAGATCAAAATAGTTACTTGTCACATTAAACTTCATAACTAACGTATAAAATGTGAAATGAGCATTATCTAAGTTTTGCCCACAAATCGCTGAAGTGAAACATAAATAGTTTGGCATATTTTCTTGGCAAAATATACGTGTTAAATACAAAGAATGTAAAATGCAGTAAATGATATATAAAATATGGAATACCTCGATTGGTTAAAATGCTAGTATAACAAATGACAATAATAATTTCAAACTCTAGCCGTTCGTTGCACATAATTTGGAAGGATAGGAAGGGAAACAAGATGGGAATGGGGCATGCGAAATGTATGGGTTAGTAGCGTATCGGTTTTATAATCCAACATCAGTATTATCGTTTTCGTTAGTAAGTAAATACAATTTGATTTTGTTCTATCGTGAATTTCAATTGGAAACATTTAGGAATTCTGCCCCACCACCTGCACATAGTTTGCAGGGAAGAGTCCGTAGCGGTTCTTGCACAATCCCCTCCACCAGCCATCGTCAATCTTTTCGATGTGGGTGATTACGTCATCCGGATCGAAGGATATCTCGTCGTCGTCCGCAGCCTGGTAATCGTAAAGGGCAATAGCATGTGTGCCGGTGTCCTCCAGGTAGTCGGCCAGATTGTCCGAGTTTGCATAGATGGCCTCATCGGATGCGTTTGCTCCGGCACTGGGAGCGACTGCTTCGGGAACCCCTCCGTTCGTGGGTGGCAGCGGAGAGGCGGCCTTAATCTCGGCCTGGTTCTGGTACAGCGGCTCCTCTTCGGCTACTGGCTCAGGATCGGCTTGTGGTTGGGGCTCGGGTTGGACTTGGGGCGTTGGCACGTGTACTGGAGATGGTGGCTCGCTTCTGGGAGGAGTGTCCACGGTTTCCACCTCAATCTGGGGCACAACATCCGGTGGCGGAGCTACAACCTTGGCCACTGGTGCTGGCTCTGGCTCAGGAGAAGGTGCAGCAACAGCCTCCACTGGAGCTGGAGTTGCAGCCGGCTCTTCTTTCACTTCTACTTTTACAGGCTGCGCCTTGGGAATGACTATGGGTTCCTTGCGTGCCGGTGGAGTCTCCGATACAGGCGACTGCATCTGGTTAAATGCACTGATGGCGTTGCCAATGCCTCCAGTCCGACCTGTCTGGATGGCCGCTCTACTGCCCTTGGGCGGGGGCGTGTCCGTCGAGGTACGGGGAGTGTTCTCAGCCACTGTCTTCTTGGCAGCCTCCTCGCGATCCCTCTTGTCCTTGGCCTCGCGGAGGCGTTTCTGCTCCTCTGCCCGCTTACGCGACTCCTCCTCGGAGTTCTTGGCCAGGTTCTCAAACTTGGCGCGCAGATTAGATGGCTTGGCTCCTTCGATCACGGGCTTGACCTTGTGATCAACCTGACTGGCATGCTTCTGCGGGGCCTCGATGTGGTCCCAGCCCACGGCGGACTTGTCCTTGCGATCCTCCTGTACGCCAAACTTGCCCCCAAAGCCCTTGGAGTAATCTGTGAAGGTTAGTTATGAAAAGTTATGGAAATACCTCGTTCATAAGGTAGCTTACCCTTCTGGGACTCGTGCTTCTCCACCTTCTCGATATGATCCCAGCCCACGGCCGATTTGTCCACACGATCCGACTGCACGCCGAACTTGCCTCCAAAACCAGTGGCGTAGTCCTTCTGGGAGGCGTGCTTTTCCACCTTCTCGATGTGGTCCCAGCCCACGGCTGACTTGTCCCTGCGATCCTCCTGCACGCCGAACTTTCCCCCGAATCCATCGCTGTAGTCCTTCTGCGAAGCGTGCTTGACCACCTTGCCCTGGTAGTCATGGCCCACGGCCGACTTGTCCATACGGTCCTTTTCGACGCCAAATTTGCCACCGTAGCCGTATCCAGCGTTTTGATCCTTCAGCAGCTGCTTCTTCTTGTCCAGATCGGCCTGCTCCGTCTCTTCGCGCAGCTTGTCCATGCTACAATTGGAAACAATGAACCTGAGATTGAAATTCATCAGAAAATCGGTGACTCACTCTATAGTGCCGGCGGTGCGACCGCTGCCGTCGATGGTCTTCGATCCCCAGCGCTGTTCCTGCTCGCTGACATCGTTCACGAAGTCCGGATCCGTCTCCCAGTCATCGTCCTCGGCGGAGGCGGCACTGGAGGCTTGGATCTGGTGACCGGCACTTGCCTTCCACATTCTGTTTACGTGCTTCTGGTTACTGTCTACTCGCTTATTCTTATCTGCTGGGTAGATAAACACCATAACGAGTGTGAGTGGTCGGGGCAGGTTTTTTGGGGCGCTCCTCATCCGATTCGTGGCCAAGATAACAAGTAACAAAACACCGAAGAAGGGAGGGGCCGACGCCGGATCGAGAGTAAGGCGCCTGTGGCGCGATGGAGGTATATACTCACTTCCCGGTGACGAACTGCAATGGAAACTGCTGAATTGGTAGTGCTGGAGCTTTCTAATGTCTTTAAATTTCTGGGCGGAGAAAGGGGTCCAAGCAATTGATTCATAAAGACAAAACCATCAAACGGGAAACAACAAAGCTGAAATCACACTGGTCACACCGACCGCAAAAAAGTAAAACGAATATACTAAAGCCGACAGTATATATAAATATACTTTTTATACTATTTTATTTTTCAAATATGAATACCCCAAATGATCTAGTGTTTTTCGGTTGAAAAATGGGCAGCACTGGTTATAGTATCGTTATATCCAAAGCATTCCGGTTAGCTAATACTCCACTGGAAATCAAACATAGCTGGATACACAAAACCGATTCTTTGCAAAAACACTAATCAAAAATATATCGAGCAAATTATAGGAAATTATTTGAATTTTAGCCGTTACAAATATTTTGGACTTACACTGAAATTGTACAGTAGTATCTATACCTATACGCCCTATTGTATGTTACACAAAGAATACAGCCGTAAAAGACATGAACATTCATATATTCGTTTTAATGTCAATATATTTGGTTCAGTAATATTTTATTTTATTTGGGCTTTACCCAAAACGCAAATACATATTTTGAATTTCTCTTCATCCTTTTCGACTTTCTGAATTTTTTTCTGAACGAATATAAACAACAAATTATAAATTCATATTTAATTTTAATTCGTTTCCTTTGTTCTTTGGTAATTTTACATATTCAAACAAATATTAGTTCCTTTTACATTATTAACAATTTATTCAGGAATGTCAAACTATATCAATTTTTTTAGTTTCTAAGTGAGTAAACCTTTGCTTAAACCATGCTTTTGTATTCACATATCTACATATGCATCACTAATGCTTTATTTTGAAATAAAAGACGTAATCAATTTATATTTCACAAAGTCATTATTATCACTGTGCAAATATTTGTACTCCCATATTGCCTTTTCGTCATAGTTGATGTCTCAACAGCTTCCAATGGTGAATCATATTAGTTCTCGCCACTCTTAAGAGGCACAGGTGTTTTTATAAGGCCCAATCTATTAATCTATTAATTGTTACCAACCATTAAATATTTGAATTTTTACGTTACTTTTCACTCCCTCTAGAAACCTCTCAACCCCACAAATAAACACTCTCCCGCTCTTTTGGATCTCAATCGCCGGCTTTTCGCTTCCAATCACTTTCCAACGAGAGAGCGCCAGTATAAAATCGGAGGTTGGAGCGCAAAAAGCCATAGTATTCACATAGAGTAAAAATAATTTCTTAATATAGTTTCTGAATATAGTTTCTTACTCTATGGTTTA